GTTCATCCAGCTCTACGCCTAGTTATCTCAGATTCTCCGGCATCTGCAGTTCCTACTACCTCTTACTTAAACGTAACATTAGATTTATTGAAAAACAATAAGTTAATAAGCTAAATGGACTGCCATGGTAGGTGAGTGCAGTTTACAAATTCCAGAGAACAAATGCAGCTACCTCTGCGATTGGAAGTGGCAGTCTCTTAGTCTGCTTATTAGCAGTATTCTGTGTTTTGTCTCATTATGCTGGCTGAAGTGTTAGGTAGGGACTGCTTCCCGTCCCCCTGAACAATATTTGATATTTTTGAGGGGTTGTTGTTCACTGCATTTCAATTCATTCTAACCAAGGAACATAAAACACATCCCCTTTGTCGGTCAACAAGCTGAAATATTAACATCTGCCATGGTGGGATTTGAACCTATGTCAGCAGACATTAAACTGGCCTCTGGTTTACTATTCTAGTGACACTATCATTATACCCAAAATGTGGGTTTGGAAAGTTATCAAAGACTCTCAGGAGTGAAGGAGCAGAGATTTAGGACATACAAATCTTTGAAAAGTGGGTTTGCATGTGGAAAATGTCATAAAAGATTCATTGAAATGTTGGGGGGTTGCTAAATTGCCATACCGAAACAAAAAAATCACGAATTTATGCAATATTCTAGTTAAGCTCCAGTTTCAGTAACATGCACATCCAGAAACCAACGATGTTGTTCAATAACCCAGCACTAAAGTGATATCAGTATTAAAGTTCCAGTTACAAACTCATTAAACAAAAAGGGCTTTTTTTTTTCTCTTAAACTGGAATTGAAGTACCAGGATATCACTATTTCAAAATTGTGAAATGTTTTAATTTGCATCACGTCACACAAAAAGGAACTAGCGAGACAGCAAAGCTATTATATATATATGCGACTTCATCGCAGCATAAAACATCAGAGTATCATTCTCGAGACAACTGTGCAACGATGAATGTTTCGTTTGAATTTGACGAAACACTGCTGATCAACGTTGCCATACCGTTGCTGTCCGTAGAATTCATTCTAGGATCAATCGGCAATGCTGTTGCTTTGTGGATCTTTTGCTTTCGGATGAAACCTTGGAAACCAAGTACTATCTATTTGTTTAACCTGACAACAGCAGATTTCCTCTTGATGTGTTGCCTACCATTTCGTTTGGCTTACTACGTAAACAAAAAGGACTGGATCTTCGGAGATATCGCCTGTCGTGTGTTGTTATTTATGGTGTCCTTGAATCGCGCAGGCAGTATTGCCTTTCTCACCATCGTGGCAATAGATCGTTATTTTAAAGTTGTCCATCCTCACCATAAATTCAATGCTGGGTCACAAAGATATGCTACACTGGGAGTATCTTTTACATGGACTCTAATGATATTAATAACCTCGTACCTTCTCTTTGAAAGGCACGTGTTTGAACAGAACAACCTTACATATTGTGAAAGCTTCAACTTGTACAAACCTTTCGATGTTACTGCAACTTGGCATGATCTATTTTTTGTGGTTGAGTTTGTAGCACCACTTTTTATTATTCTGTTCTGCACATTCTCGATTATTTCAAAACTTCAGCACAATAAAAGTGAAACTAGAAAAAAATATAAAAAGGCTGTATTGTGATAACTGTTGTAATAGTGTTCATATTCTGTTTCTTACCAAGCAACGTCGGCGGGCTAATTGTGCTGCTAACACAATCAAACAAGTTTGACGACATTGCGGCTTACAAGGCTGCTGTTGAGGGATTTTACATCACACTCTGTCTCACTTATATTAACAGCATGCTTGATCCAATTGTCTATTACTGTTCAAGTTCAAAGTTTAAAAATGCTGTAAGTCGAAGGACTTCACAAAAGACAGAAATGAAGAAAATGACTGGAAACTCATCTGAAACCAATAGCTAAAAGGTTTAGATAAAAAAAAGTCTCAAATGAGCCAACGAGAGCTTCAAATGATTTAGCATGGATAATCGATCTGAATTTAAGCAGAACTACATGGTTTTAAAAAAAGTTATGCAATGCAAAACCAGCAAGCATCTGGAAAGCCGCATAGTACAACATCGGCACAAAGCCTAAAATGTAGACAGAGGATCTGTGGGACAATGGACAATGACGCAGATGACGTACAAATTGAAACTGGAAACAACTGTGTCAGGTGTGTAGGCTATTGTCCTAAATGTACACTTTACCTCTTGCCCTGCAGACTCTTGTAGATTTGCACCAGCTTTTTCTCTTGCCAGCGAATTGTGTGAGCATGTGGGACTAACCACTTGGCACTTGTAACGGCAATCAAGAACCATATTATTTTAAAGTACAAATGTGTGGAATTTGAAATATTGCATGTTTCTGTAATGTACCCTGACCTGAGAAAGTGTGCATTTTGGGTTTCAACATAAAATTTTCAAAATTGGAAACTCCATTAATCATCAATTGAACAGTTGGAATGCCAGAAAAAGCTAATAAATAGTATTTTTTATCTTTACACATTTAATATGCAAAAAAAGTTTCTGAACAATTTGCAATTGCAAATTGCTTCAAAATACAAATGGTAAAAGTACATTTTAACATTGTAACTTGTTTTGATTTGAGTGCATTAAATTTTATCGTGAAACAATAAGGAAAAATAAAGTTCATTTGCAGTATTTTGTTGTTCATTTTTTCAATGATCTTTTCTATTTCACTGGTCTTAAAATGTTTCAGAAAAATAATTGGTTTGAGTGCTGGACAATCATGGTCTGGATAATCTGCAGAGACGAAGTGAAACATTCCAGGAGTTACAGGAATTATTTTCCACTTAATAGGTAATGTACTTTTCATAGTTTGCACATGGCTGACCAACTATAATGTCAAACAGATAAGCTGCAGATCAGAAGCAATTCCATCCATCTTTAAGTTGACAGTTTGCATGCACAAATAATTTACAGAAAGTTGGTAGCTGTGCAATTATGCAGCTCTATAAGACTAAAGTTAGATAAAGAGGAGTTGGGCTGATGAAGCACAATTGCATTAACTCCTCAGACGTTTATGTTCTACACATGCCAGCTGTCATCAGGTACATCATCAAGGTGGTCATTCTACATGCACTTCCAAATAATGAATGTAGCCTGTATGATTATAGGCAGCACTGGTAAACACTGATTTTGCCTCAAACATTGTCCATTTTTCAAGAGAACTTGGTCACTTCAAAATAATCAGATAGCAAATAGAAACAGGAACCTTGTTGACTTTTCCCTTCTCTAGCCTGGAAGTGAAATATAACATTATCTACTCTGGCATCCAGCAAGTAGTACTAAACTCAGTACAGAACAGGGATCAATTTCAGACCCCGTTGAAAACCAGCCCATGCCAGTTGGAGGTCTAGCACATTTACCGTTCACAACCTTTATTCATTTCCAGAAGTGAAACTATTTAATAGAAAACTAACATAAATATTTAGTATTGGAACATATGGAAGGACGATTAAATAGTAAATGGCAAAATGGGAACATAACTTTCCATAAAGATATCTTTCCATAGGAAGACAAAAAAAGCATTGTTTTATGTCAGCATATTGACTAGTCTTGCCATTCTACTTCTGCTCCTGAAGAAACTCCTGGAGGAAATAAAAGAATAAAAGTCAAATTTATGCAACAAGTTTAGATTTTAAAACAAAAATAAACAGATGGTAGTCATTTTCAAGACATTTTCTGATCAGCTGACAACATGATCAGTTGTGTAATTGGGAAAAACTGCTGGTAGGTTTGGATCCAGTGTGAACTTGAAGTTTCAGAAATCTTTTTCCTGGACCAAACCTACCTCCAGCTTTAACTGAAACCACAAGGTTGAGTGGTTGGGAGGAGGGCAACCAAGGAGGAAAACTGCAGCTTGAAATTAGATAATAAGACCAGGAGGCATACGATTGATCCACTTCAAAACTTTTACTGCTGTTGGACAGGTTTCCTAAGGGCTGGATTATCCAGCAGCTTTTTAAACATAAGGACTTGGTGGATGCAGGAGGTAAACTATCCTCACACTTACCCACTACATCCAGCCTCTGTGATTTGACAGTCCACACCATGGAGGGATTCCTAAAGATGGGTCCCCCAGCTAATCAATCTGTTCTTTACAGATCATGGCAGTGAAAAGACTGTCCTTACCATCAATTTCATTATGGAGAGCATCACAGCTGAATCTTATCGTATCCTCAGCCTTTATATGTATATAAATCTGTGTGCACACTTGCCAAAAGGACATGCTGCATTGTTCTTGGGACAGGAATCCTGGATAAATTTTATCCTTTCTGAAGGCATTTTACCGCTGAGATGAACTATTCCCCACAGCTTGTTAGCTGGGGATCAGTTAATTTAGTTCACAACAGGGCAAAGCCAACCTGTTCTGTATAACTCAACCACTACATAGTTCTTTGGATCAGAGGCGAGGCCTCTCATCGCATTTCCTATATCAAGATATAAAACCTCTGTGACAAGTGATTCAGCACAGGCCCCCCACAAACAGTGGCCTCCAAGTGCTAATTGGAAGTGTGTACAGTCGCTGAGGACAACTGACCACCATCCCTCCAAATCAACACCACCACCAACTTTCAAGCTTTGCGTTAAAGTAGTGCCTCGACTTCATGTCGTGCTTCATAATAACAAGCGAGACTGGGAATTTCAATAAACTTGCAAAAAAAATTAAAGAGACAAAACTGGGATCGTTATTCAATTACTCGGTCAATATGCCTCCCTACTGTGGAGTACCTAATTTCACAAAGTCTTTTATTTTTATTTAAAGAATTCTAATACAAATATTATTTCTAGTAGGCTACCTCCTGATACCCATTTCATTCTTTGATTTAACCGAATACCTACTTTACATCAGTCTTGTACAACCCAAGCGTGGTTATTCTGCAAGATGTTCATATTTGTAAGAGATATATCGTCAAAATAGACTGATTTAAAGTATGTTTTACCTTTAAAATTTCAGCAGGAGAAATGTTTGATTTGATAGGTCTTCCTTCATGCCTTAGATATTCAGTTACCACAGAGATAGCATCGTCTAGGCTTCAAAAGTAAACTTGAATTACTTATGAGTTTAGAGATGTTAACAAAGAACAATCAGAGTCCATAAGCACACCTGGAAATCTAATTAGAAAGACACACCCTTTCAAGATCCGTTCTGATTGCTCAGAAGGCTAAATTGCATTATTAATCATATCTTTTATTCAAACATTCTATTTTTGTTTACCATTTGTGGCACTGAGAAAACATATTGCAGAATCAAAGCTGGCTCAATGCTAAAAAGATTTAGGAAACGAACAGCAAGGATAAGATCTCTGTTCCATTACTGTCTAGCCTCATGTACTATTGCCCCTATGCACCTTACCAGCAGAGAGACATTTTTCAATGCTTGGCTAGTCAGGATCATCCCAACCACAAATTTAAATGAGATTCCAGCGCATTAGGTTGTCAGTGCATTCAATAATTAAGATGATCTACTTTACAATCATTGGTCTACATCATGAAACAAGTAAGTGGCAAATCTCAGAAAAGTGGAAAATTCCTCCCAAGACATACAACAGCCATCAAACAAACCCTTGAAGGTTACCAAGAGACTTACTCATTCTAGACTCTAAGATCAAAAATAATGTACAGCTAAAATTATTCCACTTGACTCAATTCAATGTTAAATCCAATACGTGTTGGTTATACCATAGCTATCATTTTATTTGGCACAGGCAAGAATTAATATCATCACTGGTTGTCCATCGGTTTGAGGATAGCATCTACTCAGGGTAGCAAGTTTCTGCTGTGGGTTTTCATGTGACCGAACTGGCCAATTCTTGACCTGAAGAGCTTTGGCAAGACCACCTCTTGAGGTAGTGGGGTACGGAGTTCAGGATTTGTACTTCCTAATCTTTTCTTTTCTGACACTGTTTTGTCTCATCTTTGAGGCATTTGGACTTGAAAGCATGATGCACTTTGATGGACAAGATGTTGATATTTTGAGTGCTTGGTAATAAGCTCCTCACAGACAGTAATGTCAATGTCAATGTCAGTGTCAACGCATTTCAGGGAGAGCTTTAGAGTACTTTTGTAACATTTTATTTGTCATCCTCTAAAAGCAGGCCATTTGAGAGTTGCGAGAGCAGGACTTGGCAGAGGAGATGCTCTTCAGGTAAACGCGTTGTCCAGTCTATCAAATAAAAGCAAAATACTGCAGATGGTGGAAATCCAAAATAAAAAGTGTATGCGCTGGAGAAACTCAGCAGGT